AGCCTCTCTCTTCTCTCTCTCTCTCTCTCTCTCTCTCTTCTTTTCCTGTCCATCTTGCTCGCTCTCTCTCTTTCTTTCTTGGTTCCTTTTTGGTGTGGAGACCTGGTCGTTGGAAATGAAACGATAAGATTCGAAGTTGGAATAATTCAAGGGCGAGTTTCTGAAAATAGATTGGTTCTTTATGCATTCAGTAGTGGTATGGTGTAGTTTGAGAGTTGAAAATGGGTGAGTGGGGAAAATAAGGATGTGAAAATAAGATAACGTGAAGTTTAAATGAATCGATATCGATTGAAATTATTATTTATTACATCTTTAGAATAATTTTGAAATAGATTGGTTTCTTCATGTTGAAATTTGAGAATACGAATTAAATGTTTAATATTGGAAACACGTGAATGAGAATAGCATGGATTAAAATAAAGTTTGAAAGTATCAATATGATTAAAATTATTAAAAATGTACCTTTTAAAATAATTCAGAAGCGAGTTTTCCTTTGGTTGGTTCCTTTTGAAAGAATATTATGTTAGAATAATATAAGTTATTATTTAAATTTTATAATCTAAATTTTGAAAATATTTAAATATATAAGAATTTTAATAAAATTTTATATATAATAAAACATATATAATAAAATTTTCTTAGAATAATTTAAAAGCAAACTTCTAATAAGCTTCTAATATTATTAATTATATATATATATATATTAACATATATTAATTATAAATAAATCCATTATAAATTATAATGTAATTGTAATAAAATGTTACTATTTGTAATCCTTAAAAATATATTTTTTTAAAAATATGGAAAAACTATTAAACCAAATACTTTACGAGATAAATTTAAATATTAAAAAGTACATTTTTGTATCTTTAATTTTTCCATTTTAAATCTGTGAACATTTGCAATCTATAAATTATACTATTAATTGCTACTTAATTAATATTTTTAATAATAGTAATTCTTTGATTTATAATTAAACGAATAGAATGATTCGTATTTACAAACGAATTTGCGAAATTTAACTTATATACAATTTAACTATTTAGATGATATAATTTAATCAGAATTTTAATTTAATTCGTGCAAAAAATAATTGCATGCTTTATTGTAAATTATACTGAAATTACACTGAAATATTTTCTTCGTATTAAGAAACTGAATTGTTAAAAATTTTTCTAAGGAAATGATAAAAAAAAAAAATGAGAAAAATAATTTTAGAAAAGAAGAAAAAAGAATTGATAAATCTTAAAAATTTTAACCGCAGATTCTAATCGATATATATATATATGTGTGTGTGTGTGTACATAATATGATCAGAAAGAAAAATATATTTATAACGAAAATTATAGTTTTTTAAATCTAATGAAAGTATCATCTTCAAGATCAGACTCGAAACGAGTTAATTAAAAAATTAATTAGAACGAAAATCTGAGAAATGACTTAACACGATTAAGATAAAAGATGGCATTTCGAATGATAATTAGTGCCAGGAGAGAAACGAAAAATTTATTTCGCTTTGCCGCTTATTATGGTTAAGTTTTAATTGAAAATTGTATCATTTATATATGATATATCTTGTTTTATTTATGTATCTATATATTAATCAATTAACCAATTAATGATTTTTATAATTAAGCTTGATAAAAATAAAAAAAAATACTAAAAATATTAAAAAAAATAAAATAATAAAATATATATTATAATATATTAATTGTTAATATTATTAATTATCAATATTAAAATATTAATTTAACAATTACATATTTGTTATCGATTAAATTTATTGATCAAATTCAGAATAATATAAATAATGTAAGGATTAGATTTACTATCTTAATATTTTTTGTGCCATGTTCTGAATTGTCAATTGTGCAATAAATCAGATTTTTATGTTTCCTTTATGATTTGAAATAATGAATTTAGAATTTTTATTCTATATTAATATAAAATATATATATATCAAAATGTCGTGCATCAAACAAATTAAAGTATAAATGCTAAATTGATTTTATTTATAATAATGTATTAATATTAATAAATATCTTAGATAGAATACACAAGTTATCGAAAAACAAAAATTATTTGTTGAATGAAAAATTCAACTTCAAAAAATTGTTCCAATATTGCCTATAATGATTCACAAATAAATATCGATTAAATTTATTACATACAAAAAAAATTTAAAAATCGAAGGGAATCATAACTGAAAGTTGTTGAATTATTTAGATTAAATTAAGTTTTTGTATATATATATTAATTTCATGTAAACTACAAAAGAAACATGAAAAAATTATATATTCACAAAATATATTTTTAATAATACCATTTATTTATCAGGATGTATCATTCACAGAATTATATTACATAAGCAACTATTATGAATAAAAGTAAAAAAATTTATTTCTATTTTTTTATTTTATATATTATCCATATTAAAACGAAATTCAATGTATGAAATCATCGACCACCTCGGAGACGAAGTACAAGGTGAAGAGTCGATTCTTTTTGAATATTATAATCGGAAAGTGTACGTCCATCTTCTAATTGTTTTCCAGCAAAGATCAATCTCTGTTGGTCAGGTGGAATACCTTCCTTGTCTTGAATTTTTGCTTTTACATTTTCAATTGTATCGGAAGCTTCAACTTCAAGAGTAATAGTTTTACCCGTGAGAGTCTTGACGAAAATTTGCATTCCACCACGAAGTCGCAAAACAAGATGAAGTGTAGATTCTTTTTGAATATTATAATCGGAAAGAGTACGGCCATCTTCCAATTGTTTTCCAGCAAAAATCAATCTTTGTTGATCAGGAGGAATACCTTCTTTGTCTTGAATTTTGGCTTTTACATTTTCAATGG